TACTGATGCTATCGTTCGTGCCGTTCTTATCGACTGTCTGGTACTTATGTTCACGTTGAAAAACCTCAAAGGGTCCTTCGTATGCTGATTCGGGAGGTCGTCGATGTGAGTCTCGACGAACGAAGACGTGTGTACTATGTCGTAAATCAGGTTGAAAGAAAACGTCAGTTGATTGAGGTCGAGTGTGAGCAGGTTTAACTGAACGCATTTGTGAACCTGCTCGTGTAGGAGTTTAGATCCATGTTCAATGAAGAAGATGAAGGAACCACAAATTCTCCTGGAAGTCGGAGTGTTGTTCCATAAACGAGTTGTGATGCAGTGTATCCAATGTCAGCCTTAACTGCATTGCGGATACCTAGTAAGACGAGTGTAAGAGCGTCTGTCCACTGTGGAACGTTTGTAGCTGATAGCGAATCTTTAAGTTGTCGATGAAAACGTTCTACCAACATGTTGGCTTGTGGGTGGTAGGCGGTCGTTGGGAAGCGAGTGATTCCTAATAGTGAGGTCAGACAACGGAAAAGTCCAGATTCGAACTGGCGTCTGTGGTCTGTAGTGATGGTTGGAGGGCAGCCAAAATTTGCTACCTATCGTTCAACGAAAGCGCAAGCCACAGTTTAGGCAGTAATGTCCTTAATAGGTACTGCTCCTGGCCATCGAGTGAAACGGTCTAGACATGTTAAGACATATGAGTATCTATTTGAATCTGGTAAGGATCCTACCAAATCCAGATGAACATGGTCGAAACGAGCATCAGGGGTTTTAAAAGAATCTAAGGGACATTTGTCGTGTCTGATGACCTTAAATTTCTGGCAGTTTACGCAGGAGAGTACCCACTCCCTCACATCTTTATTCATACCGGGCCAGCAAAACCGTTCGGCTATAAGCTTGATGGATGTACGAACACCTGGATGAGAAAGATTAGGCAACGTATTGAAGATGTTGCGTCGATAATGTTTTGGTACGATTGGAAGATCCCTACCTGTAGATGTGTCACATAGTAAGTTTTCCTTACCTGTTCCCATCTGTTTAATACGCAAATTTAGAGTTGTCGAGGATAACTCGTGCTGAAGATCAGTGACTTCTTTTTGAAGCTGAGCGAGTTCAATAGGGTCGATTCCTTGGAAACTGCTCAAAGAACGTATACGAGACAAGGCGTCTGCGACTAAATTGTTTGCTCCAGAAATGTGTTGTATATCTGAAGTAAACTGCGAAATGTAGTCCAGTTGTCAAGACTCTCTGTGTGAGTATTTGTCTGAAGATGAGCTTAAAGAGAAGGTAAGAGGTTTATGATTGGTAAAAAGCGTGAATTCTCTTCCTTCGGTAGAATGTTGGAAATGCCATAAAGCACAATACATAGCTAGGAGTTCCCTACCGAACGTGCTGTACTTAAATTCAGTGTCTGGCAACCGTCTCGAGAAAAATACTATAGGTTGCTAAGAGTGGTTAACCCATTGTTGTAAGACTCCTCCGATAGCTGAGTCGGATGAGTCTACGGCGATACTACTGGGCGCTTGAGTGCCCTGATGCGCAAGCAGGGTTGCCTTAGCGATATGTTCCTTAACTGTGGAGAACGCTTTTTACACGGTGTCGTCTAGAATAATTGATTTTGCATCTCCACAAAGTTAACGGTTTCATAAGGGATGCGCATTTAGGTATGAACCGTCTGTAGAAACTTACAAGGCCGTTAAAAGTGCGCAACTGCTTGATTGTGGTCGGTTCTGGGTAATCCAGAATGGCCGCCACTTTGCTTCTAAGAGGTCGGATGCCTTGAGAATCAATGGTGTGTCCTAATAAGTCTAAGGAGCTAGTTCCGATTTGGCATTTCTGAATGTTGACAGTAATGCCATGCCTTTGGAGTCGTTCGTAAACAAGGTCCAGATGCTGGAGATGTGATCCTCTGTCCGGATTTGATATTAGACAGTCGTCAACATACGCATGTACGAAGTTGAGACCTCGGAAGACGTAATCTATGAACCTTTGGAAGGTCTGAGCCGCAATTCTTAGTCCGAAAGGCATTCGTAAGAATTCGTAGAGGCCGAAAGGAGTGATGATGGCGGTTTTTGGAAAGTCGTCGGTTGCTGTAGGTATTTGGTTGTAAGCCTTAACTAAGTCGATTTTCGAAAAGACAGTTTATCTTTCAAGGTAGCTGTCAAATCGTGAATGTGAGGCAACAGGTAACGATCGGGAACGGTTTCAGCATTCAGACACCGATAATCACCAGTTGGACGCCAATTTTTGCTATCCTTTTTAAGGGCCATGTGCAAGGGAGATGACCATGGGTTATTTGATGGTCAAAGCTGTTTGAATAGACCGTCGTCGAAAGTTATTTGACCTATCACCTCTCTCATCCTTAAAAACATGTCTGTCGCAGAACCATGTTGCAGGTCGTTATTGTTAAGGAGTTGATCCAACCGCTGTCAATCGGTTAGATCTCCACGTTTAAGACTTTCGTAAGGTTTGGAAACATCGCTAATAAACATACCAGGTGTTATGTACCTGTTGAATTTGTGGGGCAGTGCATTGATCACCGCGAGGAATTGTGTGCGCGAGTCTGTGCCCGCAAAAGTCAGATTCTGCGTAGCAGAACCAGGCTTCGATATTGTTCGGCCAAAAAGGCGTTAACTGAATCGAAGGTGGGGGAAAAGTCTTTAACTTAAATAATTTTGGTGTCTTTTCCGTCATAGTATTATAAAAAACGAAAAATATATAATTAAAATATATCCTAAAAACCCAAAAAGCCGTATATCACAATACATAAAAGTCCAATAAAGAAAAACAATGAATAATGGAGTTCCAAAAAGGAACATAATTACAGTTTATCGTTCGGTGTACCAGATCACGTCGGTCTCACCACTGAAGATACGACCAGTATTCAAGTTTGACAACTATTAACCAGTAACACCTTCTATATTTGAATCGTCCCCCAGTTGATTAAAATCAGAAGTCAGATGCGAAGAGGTAGGAAAGATATATTTGTTGCGTTATCAATATATCGAGAAGCGGTTGCTCTAATCTCGCTAGTGAACGTAGTAGCTTTTTCGCACACTGAGTCGTAACGTGATCTGGTGCGGATGCATGACCGAAAGCCTTCAGTTAAACAAATCCACTTAAAACAATGTGGTCAGCATCCAATGTCGAACAATCAAGAAGCTACTGAATTCGGAGAATTATTTATCGCTACACAACCACTCATGACCGCGAAGATTAAAATCGCTCCGATACATGGGTTTGTTAAATTATGACTGAATAACGCCTAACACTTTCTTCCTAAACTAATGAGGCATGAAGTGTGATAAAAAAATCCAGCGCCCGACAACAGAATTTCAGTAAGTGTAATGTATACAAGACAGTCACTTAACTTCTAATTCCAAAGGCGAGAGACGGCCAAATGCCACTACAAACCTTATAAAGATCACATGTAAGATTCCCGTTTTCCAATCATTCGATTAGGACATAAGGTAATCATTGAAATCGCCTTTCATATAACAGCCACATTTTATAGTTAACTGATTTGGGCAGTTAGGCTTACATATTAAAAGTTGAATTTTGACACAGTCAAGAATGCTGACCCTAGTACAGTTCACCTTCATCCCAAAATACATCACATTTTTTGGATATTACCAGGCTGAAGAAGTACTTATACTTGCTGCTTTATTTCTATCTAATCACTCGTTATGACTTACGTTTACTTTGAATACGATAATCAGTATTCGAAATTCAACCTCGAGCTAATTTTCTTAGTCAATTCTCTCTTAATTAAAACAATTTTATCATAGATTTCATGTCCTTGATCTTTTATACAACTTACTCATTTATGAGAGCGTTCGTAGCTTTTATCTTATCTGTGTATTCAACTCTAACTTGGTATAAACTGTAATTGGAAATATTGTATTGTTTTCCACAAACGCATTCAAACACACATATATATTGCCATAAAGGACGACAGGTTTCCGACTGTCCACCTGAAAATAAGATACCATGTTTTTTTCAATGTCACCAAAAATATTGCAGCATCCCAAGCCATAGTAGATGAGTTAGTGAGACATTACGAATTTACAGTTATCGCTACAGCGTACAAAGGAAATAGACACCTGAATCTGGCGCATTAGTGTTGGGAAAACCGCAGTTACTAATCTTTTTATTGTCTGTTGGTAGAAGAATTGTGATATTTTCGTAGGTTGTTCATGTAGCCTCTTAGTATATTACTGTTTGTAATCCCAAATCATATCACTTCATATGGAAATAACTAATCTGTCACGACTTTAATTACGAAAATTAATAACTATTACAAACACACATTACTGGAGATGGTGGAAATTTGCAGATCGAATGGATAATTTTAAAAGTTCTGTTATATCAGGTGAATAGTTTAATTTCGAAGCCTACATAGACCCTTTAATTACGATCATTAGCAAAAACTTCTGATGCACGTGAGCTGTTCGAATTTTTCCATATATGACTAACAGCTTATCTGAATATTTATTGCTTCCAATAAGAAAAAACAACATAAATCAAAGTCCATAAGAGAAGTCAGTTATGTATGAAGGATTTCAAATAGCTCAATTTTACCTCAAGTTTATGCTGAAGATGTTGTACAGAGAGGTGATGAAAGCTTCAAGATTAAACCGCAGCCCAGAAAGAGAAAATTCAAGAAAAGGCGCTGCTTGTTACACCTTTAGATGTTATACAAATATACTTTTTCTTGACTAGAAGTTAGTAGACAAGAATATTTCTGTACTAACACACATCACAAATTAGTTTCCTAAAGTATAAGTTATTCATGCTTATTTGCTTAACGATATAAAATGTAAAGTGTATTTACAAATTTACTGTTTCGTGGAAATGAATAAACAAAATTTTTAACTAACTGAAGAGATTTTGTAACAAAAAAGCAAATGAACAATGATTAAAATGGAACCATAATATGCCAACAGTTTAAAAGAGATTATATGAAGGAAAATGTGTTTCGAAAAACAAACAAGACTTTAAAAATGTGAACACTATAAATACTGTTGGCTACCATGACTGAAACGACTAGAAAGCTTTTTGGAATGTTCAATTAACGCCTTTCGAGCAGCTGTATCAACTCGGGACCGTTCAAGATCCTTTTCACGATCAAAAGGTCGTCTTATTGATTTACTAGGTGGTGAGGAAGATGGTGATGATGACTTTTCACGCTTTTTTTTATGCTCCTGAAGAAAAAAGTCAAAAGTGAAGCATTAGCCACGAAGTGAAATAAATACCCACCTTGGATTTATGCTTATGTTTCTTGGATTTCTTCTCACGTTTTTTCTTTAATCTGTGTTTGAGTTTATTCTCATGTAATTCAAGTAAACTTGACTTTTGTTTTGAAATCTATGAGGCAAGAAGGTGAACAAAAAGTAAAGAAGAGGGAAAGATAATATCTATAACGGTAAGAATGAAATTACTTGACAATCCGAAGCAATCTTTGCCATCTTCTGATCGTATGCTACATTTCGTTGATATTTTAGAGTGTCCTTTATTGATTGATTTGCCTGAAATAAATGGATGTACAATAAATACTTACATCAACATCGATGAACCACAAGTGAAAACTAAAAAATGAGCTTAAAATAGAATAGACGAATACATTTATATACTAATGGATTACATAAGAGTAGCTAAGGATAACCAATTCATATCGTAAACTAGTGATAAGACAAAGACTGACCCCGGAAATAAGTCAAATGATGTATGAATAAATAACGATTTATATGATAAACTTAGTCAGATTTGCGTAAATTGAACTGAGAAGTATTTGACAGCAAGTAATCAATAGTTTATTGAGTGGGCACATATTTACAACACCATACACTTAGATATTCCTTTTTCAAAATATGATAACATGTCACAGAGGAATGGGGAGGAAAAATCACTTCTATTTGATTCGCACTACAATCCATTGAGCTATTATTTATCATATAAACACCTGAAAACATTCTGGATTGTCTAGGTAGTATAATTTTGTCACAATTACTTTAAGTCGTCGGATAGTGCCTAGTAGTAAACGAAATATGCCACGCATTCCACTGGTAGCCACTATCCAACTCTGCTTAAACTTATTGAATATTGAGCGACCATTAGAGTAATATATATGATGTTACCAGTAAGAAACTCCGCCTGTAGCTCTTCTAGAGTTACTGCCGGTCCCAAGCCCGGGTAAAGGAGGAGGGTTGGGCATGGGGTTAGCGACCCCATCCCGTAGAAAAGCTAACTCGCTAAAAAAACGCTAACCAGAAAAAATAATCCAAACCATTTAAACTCTGCCCTGGGAGTTGAACGAATAATGACGTCTCATGATGAAAGCCGAAATTCTTCGGAAGTCACGAGACCGATGCACCTTCTAACAACCAGAGCAACACTCTTTATAGGTACATGGAACGTCCGGACAATGTGGGAAACAGGAAAGACCAGCCAAATAGCAATGGAAATGAGGAGATACAACTTGGCAGTACTCGGAATCAGCGAAACCCATTGGACACAAACTGGACAACAAAGGCTAGGTACAGGAGAGATGCTGCTGTACTCCGGTCACGAAGGGGAAAATGCGCCACACACTCAGGGAGTTGCTCTAATGCTGTCCAGAGAAGCACGAAATGCACTTGTGGGATGGGAATCTCATGGACCCAGGATAATCAAAGCATCATTCAGAACAAAGAAGCAAGGGATCACAATGAATGTTATCCAATGTTATGCACCCACCAATGATAGCAACGACGATGTTAAAGATCAGTTCTATGAAAGGCTGCAATCAATTATAGCAAAGTGCTCACGAAAGGACCTCACCATCCTTATGGGAGATCTAAATGCTAAAGTTGGAGTGGACAACACAGGATATGAAGATGTAATTGGACGACATGGACTAGGAGAGAGAAATGAAAATGGGGAGAGACTTGCAAACCTATGTGCTTTCAACAAATTGGTTATAGGCGGCACAATATTCCCACACAAACGCATACACACAGCTACATGGATCTCACCGGACCACACCACAGAGAACCAGATTGATCACATCTGTATCAACAAAAAATTCCGAAGATCAATGGAAGATGTGAGAACCCGGAGAGGAGCTGACATAGCTTCAGATCACCACCTGGTTGTGGCCAAGATGAGACTGAAGCTAAAGAAAGACTGGACAACTGGACAAACAGCACTACAAAGGTTTAATACAGCCTTCCTTCGAGATACTGACAAACTCCATGAATTCAAGATAACTCTCAACAACAGGTTCCAAGCTCTACAGGATCTACTGAAAGAACAAGAAACTACTTTGGAGGACAACTGGAAAGGGATAAAAGAAGCACTAACCTCAACGTGTCAGGAGGTTCTTGGTCCTAAGAAGCACCATCACAAGGAATGGATCTCTATGGGGACCCTGGACAAACTTCAAGAAAGGAAGAACAAGAAACTAGCAATTAACAACAGCCGAACACGAGCAGAGAAAGTCAAAGCACAAGCAGACTACGCAGAAGCAAACAGAGAAGTGAAGAAAAGCATTAAAGCCGACAAGCAGAAATACATGGGAGAACTAGCAACGGCGGCGGAAAAAGCTGCAAGAGAAGGGAATATGAAACAACTATATGATACAACGAAGAAATTGGCAGGGAGATATAGCAAACCAGAGAGACCAGTCAAAGACAAAGAAGGAAAGACAATCACTGAGATTCAGGAACAGAGGAAAAGATGGGCAGAATACTTTGAGGAACTGCTGAATAGACCAGCCCCATCGAATCCACCGAACATCGAAGCAGCCCACACTGACCTTCCAATAGATGTCACTCCACCAACGATCGAAGAAGTCAAGATGGCCATCAGACAAATCAAAAGTGGGAAGGCGGCAGGACCTGACAATATACCAGCAGAAGCACTGAAGTCAGACATTGAAATAACTGCAAACATGCTTCACCTTCTATTCAAAAAGATTTGGGAAGAGGAACAAGTGCCAACGGACTGGAAAGAAGGATATCTCATCAAGATACCAAAGAAAGGAGATCTGAGCCAATGTGAGAACTACAGAGGCATCAGTTTGTTATCAGTACCAGGAAAAGTTTTCAACAGAGTGCTGCTGAATCGGATGAAAGACGCAGTAGACGCCGAACTTAGGGATCATCAGGCTGGATTCCGTAAGGATCGGTCGTGCACAGACCAGATTGCGACACTACGGATCATCGTTGAACAATCAGTTGAGTGGAACTCATCACTATACGTCAACTTCATCGACTATGAGAAGGCGTTTGACAGCGTGGATAGGAGAACATTGTGGAAACTTCTTCGACACTATGGAGTTCCTCAGAAGATCGTCAACATTATCCAAAACTCATACGACGGATTACAGTGCAAAGTGGTGCATGGAGGACAGCTGACAGATGCATTTCCAGTAAGGACCGGAGTCAGACAAGGCTGTCTACTCTCCCCATTTCTCTTCCTTCTAGTGATTGACTGGATTATGACGAATTCGACATCCGAAGGGAAATACGGAATACAATGGACTTCTCAGAATCAATTAGATGATTTGGACTTCGCAGATGACCTAGCCCTCCTCTCTCATACACACGACCAAATGCAGATGAAGACAGCAAATGTAGCAGCAGCCTCCGCATCGATAGGCCTCCACATTCACAAAGGAAAAAGCAAGATTCTCAAATGCAACACGGAGAACACCGACCCAATCACACTTGATGGCGAAACTCTGGAAGAGGTGGAAACATTCAAGTACCTGGGGAGCATCGTTGATAAACAAGGAGGATCGGATGCAGATGTAAAGGCAAGGATTGGCAGAGCAAGGGCAGCATTTCTACAATTGCAGAACATATGGAACTCAAAACAACTCTCAACCAATTTCAAGGTGAGAATCTTTAATACGAACGTCAAGACAGTCCTACTGTATGGAGCTGAAACGTGGAGAACTACTACGGCCATCATCAGGAAGGTACAAGTATTTATAAACAGTTGTCTACGCAAAATACTCAACATCCATTGGCCGGATACTATCAGCAACAGCGTTTTATGGGAGAGGACAAACCAGCTTCCAGATGAAGAGGAAATCAGGAAAAGACGTTGGAAGTGGATAAGACAAACATTAAGGAAATCACCAATGTGCATCACGACTCAATCCCTAACTTGGAATCCGGAAGGGAAGCGGAAAAGAGGAAGGCCAAAGAACACACTACGCCGGGAAATAGAAGCCGATATGAAAAGGATGAATAGCAACTGGAAAGAACTGGAAAGGAAGGCTCAGGACAGAGTTGGATGGAGAATGCTGGTGAGCGGCCTATGCTTTTCGACGAGGGGTAACAGGCGTAAGTAAGTAAGTAAGTAAGTTACCAGTAAGAGTAAAGATTACATTACACTCATCGAAAGTTCACATTACAAGTATAGAAATATCCAGACTAATTCGTTATTCGACTGTTTAGCATTAAGGAAAGGATTGAAAAAGTTTGTGAATAGACCAACTAATGTGGCTAATAAAGGGATTGTTTATTTAAACACAATATGGTACAACGAAGCACTAAATATATATGCGCCACACAAATCATTCCATTTGTGTGAGGGCAGGAATACTGCTCGGGCACCCAAACCAAAGGGATAATTGCGTACACAATGAAAAAGATTAATTTAGCTGAATATTAATTACGAAACAGTTATGAATAAAATAAACTTACCTGACTACTAGTTAACAAATGTCTTGAATCATCACTTGGTGAAGTGAACCATGATGCATCATGAAGAGGTGTTGATATATCTTGGCGAAATTTACATGATTTCAAATAATTAAGATCATTTGATCTAGGTAATAACTCCGTCATCCATGTATCACGTTTAAGTTTTTCATTCTTCACCATTACACAGCTTAAACCCCCCGAATACTGAGCAGTGTAAATCAAGAGACAGAATGAAAGGAAAAAGCTAACAACGCTATGAGACAAATCAAAGTCGTTGAACAGAAAGTTAATAGCACCGTCTGCAATTATTAACCTTATCGATTTGAGTTAATAGTACTTATCGCTTAATACTACTCATTCATTGGTCTACTATATAAATTGTAATAGAGATATCTTCATGTTCACTAATTTTTCACATGTACAGGGAAATTAACCACTAAATAATTGTCGTCAAATTAAGTATTGTAACATGATAGTCAGTATATTACATTATTAATATTTCGAGTGTTGAATATATAATCCGTCAAATTATTTATGAAAAATGAGAGATGTACTTCCTCTTAAAGGTTAGGAAGCTTGAATGTCATTCATCGAGCTTGCCGGTTTGAAATTTGTTACAACCAATTTTAGTTCGGTTAACCAGGAAATATCACTAAGCTCTACACAAAAATGTAAATTAAATGGAAATCCATACATTTATATCATGTGAATGAGTTCTATATACCTCAATGTAATTTTGAGGACTGAAATTCCAACATAAAGTTATCAATTAAGACATATCTAACAATAAGGATATCATAATAGTTTTCACTACTGGAAGATAAGTGGAGTGACGCGATATGAACTAGTGATGACAACTACTCATTGATTATTGACTCAAACTTCCGAATGAACTTATTTCAAAGATAATATGACTGTTAACCAGAAGAATAAAATTTCTATTTGATAAAATAGTAACGATCTAATGTCATGAATCATGTAAGGGAGGATATCAGGTTTGCTGGCGACGTCATTCACCAATAAATAATTACTTGTCTGCTAAGATCAACTCATCCGCATCATATCAACCACTGTAAAAAAGAAACAAAGTCGTTAAAACTATAACAAAGAGGTCGGTGGTAGAAATGATTTAATTGTGCGTGAGCTGTGATTCTGCCCGGGCCCGCAGGGGGCCACACCCTGAGCCTTTGACCTCAAGATCTAATCCACAAGGCAGTGGAGCAACACCAGGAAATGCAGTCCCATTGTAACCAACAATTGGTTCATACACCTTCTGGATCCTGGAGCCCATATCCACCATTGGTTTGGAATCAGGGTTTCCCAACTCCCCTAGGTGGACTTTTCGTTCCCATCAACCCGGTTACAGCGCTGGACATTCACTTTGCGTCCTCTCAATTTCGTAAAATACACCCCTGCCGCGAGAAGATAGTGAGTAGGGATTCTGTGGCAGTGGCTGTATACGCGTGGTGATGTGAGATGATTTCGAGAGGGAGAGCTGACTCTCCCAACCCTCGGCCGTAATAGGGTGTTTCAGGGCAATGCATGTCAAGATAATCAGTGTTCAATCATACGTAGCACGTGGCCCAACAATCTCAGTGGATGAAGATTCATGACCTCATCAACTAATTTATCATCATTCCATAATGCCCTGTGTTTAACCTCACCATTGCTTACCCGGTGATCCCAGCAGATGAAAGCAATATTTCTAAGGCATCTGTGATCAAATACCAGTAGCTTGCAAGTATTTTATTAGAAGATTGATAAGGAGAGAACGGGAGCGGGACGGAATTGGTATGAAGATGCATGAACAATAATAATCAGGGACGATGGACTGATATTTTCAGAGTGAACGGTCAAGATTGAGTCAATTCATTGATAGTTTGCAAATTAACGGTTTACTATATGGTTCTCATATTTTACTGAGATATTAAGTAATTTGTGCCTAAATACATTCGATTGTCCACACTCGTCTTCTCGTTCATTACAGTGGGATCTTGAGGAACGATTGTTCTAGCCAGTATAGTTCGATTGGTTCATTACAATGGGCAAGCCCGACCACCAAGTCAAGGTAGTAGCAATGGTCGGGATTTCGTGGAGTAGGGGCTGTGAACCAACAACAATCAGTAACCTCATGCATTGATATTTCGTGCAATTTACCCAATAAAAGTGATATGAAAAATATTTACAAGCAAACTTGATAAAAAAGAATGTTAACTATAAGTGATACCTGAAACATATAAAAAACAACATACACCAGATTTCAGATGCCGCCATTCTTCACTTATTTCTTGTCCTGGTAGTAAAGGACCGATAGTATCAATCCCTCCAAAGTCAGTCGAAGATTTATAACTGACTGATTCCGAATCTTTATTGAATTTCTGCTTGAATAAATCAGAGGGAAATGCAGGACCTATCCCAGTGGATGGAACAAGATCATCAGGTTGAAAAACTGGTCCAATAAGAACTCGATCGTCATTTTTCGAATCCAACGTTTTTCTAGACATGTTAGCTTTATTATACCTAAGTGGTATATTGAAAAATATCATTATCGATACTTCACTTACTTATGACGAATCATATTACATAAAAAGTTATTATTAGTGGAAATAAATCGTGTTGTTGTAAGTGGAGAAAACCTACTGTATAATGATTATTACTTGACACGTGAACGCTAAAAAAAGTGCTGTAATCTCGCTGTTTCAACGTTTTCGAAATACAACCACATTTTGTGTTTACACATCAGATTGACCTTGGTTAGACCATGGCTACAAACCAAGAATCATTGGACATCTTTTACACTAATATAGGGCTTATCAGGAGTGGGGATCAACAACTGGACCAGGAGTAGAACCCATGACCTACTGAGCTCCTGACGAGCACTTATCCCTCAAACCATTAAAATACCATCCAATGGTTAATACGTCTAGCTTCAGTTGGTTAAGAATATTGCTATCCAAGGGATTTGTAGATTACAGTGGTTGTTAATTTAAGATCAATCTAAGATGCAGAATTACAAAATCCGGCCATCTTCACAAAACTCATCTAAGAATGCGTAAAAATAAATCAGATGCAAATATATCGTGTTTATTTCTTCTCATTCATCTTGGAAGTTCTTGAATCAATATTTCTTTTTGTTGAATAACTCCAGTCAAGTGATGTAATGTATGTTACAAGTATATACCACTTCTATTGGATAACAATTCCCATTTTACATAAAAATACGGATTGTTATCCAGATAAGTTTAAATCGGGAAGTAGGATTTTCAATTACACAAATGTATGATTTGGAAATACATATAAAAATACTATTACCGAATCATCAATCAGGCACAGATATAAAAACTTGGCATAAGCTGACACGGTAAGTATGAGACTTTATGGTACTAATTTTTTACGCAGGTGTGAACCTGAGTTCCTGAGGCTTCAAGTTGAAAATCTTAAACGATGAGTTACAAGATCATATAGATTTGCGTCAAACCAAATAATAAAGTACGACGAATCACCATAAACTTTTCACTGAAACAATGGTGTAAAAATCAACACAATGTACAAATCGACGTATTCATGGCTAATTAATTGTTAAAAAAGCAAAGTATGAGAAAACATCAAAATTCTGTACCGATCAAGTTCCAAGAATCCCAGAGAATTTCTGTAAAAATAGCGTGCAGAACAATTAGCAATCAATAAACAGATTGATCTAATACCCTACTTGAGAAAAGTTAATCAAAAGTATAACCAGAGATCAACGAAACAAAACAGTCAACTTGAATAAAGGGATACAAAAGAAAATAAAACCTACATAGATAACTGGTCACAAACAAGAGCGACAGAATAAACAAATTTAAAGATTGTGGGATAAATAAGAAAGCCCTGATAATGTTCTCTAGAACAGGTGAAGGCTGAAAAATTAATTACTCGAACAAGCTAATTAGGATATCAAAACTATAGGCGTTCACCAGTTGTTCTGATCACATACACACACACACAGATTATGATAAGAAATCATCTACTACAGAAATTATTATTATTATTATTATTGATTTTTCAAAACGAAGCAACTTATGTAATGTTACTTATGGAATAGAAAAGAGTAAGGAAATCAATACAACACATCAAAACAGTTTAACAATTACGAAGATAAACAAAAGAATAAAGAAAATACATTGTTAAAACATTGAAAGTTAAGAAAATGTATCAGAGTTTCGAATTATATCCATATTGTCCTAAGAAAAAGAGTTTTAAACGAAATATGATATTAACTTTTGATACGTGACAACAAAAAGTACGAGTAGAACACCGGAGATATAAATTTGTAATAAACGCAATTCAGTTGGGAGATAACATTTATTTATTGAATAATTTGTGGACGATATTGAAAGCTGTAAAACAAGAAAGATATGAGGAAATAGTAAATATTGAAAGAGAAAATAATCAGTATTGTACATTCTGTGATACATAGAATACAACTTCAGTAATTATATTAGTGTAATTTCTAAAAATACTAAATACTTTCTCAATTAGCTGGAATATGGTGGAGGTGGTTGATGAAGTCACTGAAACCTAGGTTTGACGCTATTTAGTACTCGCCACCAAGATGTACCTGTAAGTTTAAGGGACTGATGCTCGCAGGAGGATTTGACTCTGCATCACCTATCCAGGGCTTCCCGTCAACTATTTTCAACCACCATTTTACAGCTCGACACAGTGCACGGAATGTGAAGTTACTTAGACTAGTAGCCACATTGTAACTTGATCGATAGAATTCAAGCAGAACCGAGGAGCTGACAAACGTAATATTGGCCGCTATCCAGTGATCAATCGATCGTTTCTCGATTATCAAGCGACACGTTCACATCAATCTAACCCATATTTTAATCTAGAAAGAAGGTTTTAATTACACTGATAATGCAAAAACATATACACAATAAAAAATATAGGTAGCTCACGCATGCGCGTATTGATTTGATGAGTTATGTGCGTTACTTTGTCACAGTTAAGTCTAGACAATGGATAGTCAGTTATACAAACGCCAATTCGAGCCTGGAAAATATTCGCATCGGTTCAATTTGCTCCGACATATCACTGTAACGGGATGTCAGAGTAGTGATACTGTCAGTGGTAGCACAAAAGGTTAGGAACAGAAGACATTATTCGGAAAGAAAATATGGATTCATGAAATAAAAAAGAACATTTTATGATAGTTAAGAAACATGATTAGTGTGATGAGACGAGTAGTAGGGTTAATATCACTGATGAAAATATCATACGAAGAATTTTTTTGTTGAATAAATAGTAGAAGTTTGCACTCTTGTATGTTTATGTTCTTCTACTGTCAAGCTTTCGTTTGACCCATAAATCGTTGTCATGTGCTGCTGAATCAGATGAAAGACGATTCGGACTTCTCAGATGGCCTAGCCCTCCTATCTCATACACACGAACGAATACAGACGAAGACAACAAATGTAGCAGCAGTCTCTGCATCAATAGGCCTCAACATACACAAAGGAAAAAGCAAGATTCTCAAATACAACACGGAGAACACCAACCCAGTTACACTTGACGTAGAAACTCTGGAAGAGGTGGAAGCATCATTGATGAACAAAGGGGATCGGATGCAGACGTAAAGACGACGATTGGCAAAACAAGGATAGCATTTCTACAATTGAAGAACATATGGAACTCAAAACAACTATTAACTAACTTCAAAGTGAGAACGTCAAGACAGTCCTATTGTATGGAGCTGAAACGTGGAGAACTACTACATCCATCGTCAATGTAAAAGTATTCATAAACAGTTGTATACGCAAATTACTCAACATCCATTGGCCGGATACCATCAGCAACAGTCTTCTGCGGGAGAGGACAAACCAGCTTCCAGATGAAGAGGAAATCAGGAAAAGACGTTGGAAGTGGATAAGACAAACATTAAGGAAATCACCAATGTGCATTACAAGGCAAGCCTTAACTTGGAATTCGGAAGGGAAGCGGAAAAGAGGAAGGACAAAGAACACATTACGCCAGGAAGTAGAAGCAGATATGAATAGGATGAATAACAACTGAAAAGGATAGCCCAGAACAGAGTTGGATAGAGAATGCTGGTGAGCGGCCTATGCTCCTCCACGAGGGGCAACAGGCGTAAGTAAGTAAGTAACCATCAATTAGTCAATTCTCTATTAATCCGGTTTCGGACCACTTATAACTACGTTATATACACATAGTATTAACTTAATTGTGTTTCTGTTTCTAAAATTATCAGTTATATTATCTTATGGGTTTTGAGTCATGGCTGAATCGAGTACGATAAAGAACTAATATGCTTTCCATCTTCGCCTTCTGAATGGCCACTTTCTTGGGAGCTCGAGGATGAATAAACATAAAGGATGCATGCGTCAAGTGATGAGTAGGTCAGCGATCCTACGATGGTTACGGATGAATAAATCGATAATCGGACTAGAGATCATACAACTACTTCCTTGTTATTACGGCCCGATCACACTGGCTATACTGCATTCTGATCAGGTTCAAATCCGATACGTTGAATGGTCCGTTTTTAATTCATCAGTGCTAGTGGACGAAATGAGATGATAGAAAACTTTTATGTAAATTTTATATAAGCTCCAGTGTTTTTACTGATGTCCGAATTAATGGAACTTATTTTATTCGCTTTCAATTTTTGTTCCGATTTGAGGAACGCCTAATAAGTTATGGCGGTCAGGGAATACTTAACAATGGAAAAAATGAATTTATTAGACATTCTTGAAATGACCAAACAAAATTTATTTCCTATCAACTAAGGATTTAGGAAACGAACTGGGCTTATATAAAAGCAAACTATTGACAATGAAATTCCGTAATCAATTTTATGTTAGTATATAGTACTATCCGTCTAAACAAATACAAAATGAATATGGTGAGGCTCGAATAAGTGAGATGACTTGTGATTTACCCAATAAGTTGCCTCGCTATACTGTTTTGAGAAATTATAGGATATGAAATCCGATCATGACAGTCACTCTTGTAAAACGCCAATTACAGAAATTTGAACTAATCTCATTGATTATTTGTTTGAGACTCCTTCTTTTAATTTTAGTGAACCTAGGACAAGAAAATCAAATTGTATCGGTTGTGTGATAAAATGAAGTCAGTTACGTGTTGTTTATTAAATGGAGGGGACATTATTCAAACAGAAGACTAAAACTTGTAACGCTATGTCACATATTAGTCGAGGTAGAAATGGTACCACTGGACGCCTACCCAGCTTTTAATGGGCAATTATTCCCTGTGAGACCTGAAAGTCTCGAGTTCGATAAATGACGAGTCCTTGAATGAACATTGATATATAGTGCATAATAGGACGAAACAGTTGCCCGGTATCCCCCAGCTTTTGATGGCACAACCTAAACCAATCTGCACAAAACCCCTACAAAAAGGATTGAGAAAGTTGATTTTTCTTACCAAATATTTCTTTATTCAATTTGTAGTAGTTCGAGTTACATCGTCCATATTTTAACTAAGATTTGATCAGTCAGAGTTGGGATATGTACATCCCGAGAAAATCGCCTCAACATAGCCAATATAGCAAGTTTAAATAGAATAGATGGGACGTTGTTAGCAGTGAAATTCAAGATATTCGTTTCATCCTATTTGGGATTCGTCAGCTGAATGCACCAACATACCAGAGTTAATGTTCTCTCTGGTACTAAAACCCAGCAACACTCACTTCGAACGACAGCAAGTTATCCACTTAGACCCCAAGTCAACACAGTTACTCACTTGCGCAACAGTTTTGAATTTTAATTCAATTTATAATGGTTTAAATTGTCCCGCTGTTGATATTTTGACTGAGATTTGATCAGTCTCGGTACATCAACTCTGAGATTCGGGTACATTCAGCCGATGAGTATCAAATACGATGAAAAACGCGTTCTGAATTCGATTGCTAGCCAAATTTCATTTATTCTACACATAAATATTTCCTGATTTTATTTCACGATCATTCATATTATTATTTCAACTTTATTGATCCGCATTTTGTTCAATTTCTTTCGTCATTGCTGCTTGGAATAAGGCATTGTATAGATTAAATTATTGTCTATGCATATCATTGTAACTTAATCAATATTGTCCATGAAATAACTGAAGTCAGTTGAAGTAGGAATAACTCCGGTATTATATTAATCCATTAAATTAATAAGATTACGAATAATAATCTGATTAATATACCATTAGAAATCCGGGATTTGCAAGATTTCTCCAAGAGAAGCTAGCAACTGACCATTCCACAGCAGTATCCGATTGGTTACCAAATTGATGTGACATTTTACATGAGTAATGTGTATGACCAGATAGTATTAATCGTGGACGAAGAGATTCCAGTAACTAATTTTATTAAAAGAGAATGACATAGTTATAATTCTAACAGCAGTGATGAAGTTTTGATATTGCGCAGATTACAGTCATAAATAATATTGACATTTTGAAACGACAATTCAACATTTCGCGATCAAAACTATAACTTACCGCCACAGTAACTGATATCAAACTAGCAGTAACTGATAGTCGTGTTTGTATAGGAAAGCCGAACTTCTATGAATTAACACTCAAACTTAAAAATTGGTACTGACTACCTTAACAACAAATGATTATACTTTAGAAGTGGTTCGTGTATAAAATACTAATAAAATTCGTTTAACACTATCATGGCGTGGTGTGCGTTACTTATGTGACTCAACAACAGTCCGTGTAAACATTGATAACCGGAATGAGCGATGAAGGTAAGTGCAGCCTAAATGTTTGGGGTCCGTGAGACTATCGTAATCCTAATATAGCTCAGAATCGTTCTCAATGATACAGGACCATTCGCTTGTTGTTTTTCCTAAGAACCTGAACCCTGAAATCTCCTGATACATTTATTATTTTTTCTACACTTAATCCTCGATATTATTGCTCCTTACACAGTTTCTATTCCTACTCAGGGATCTGTCTTGATAATTTTATCATGTTCTGGTAAACTGGTGTGGCAACTTGAACTGATGCCCACATGTGCCAGGTCCCATACTGCAAATGACTGACGGGGTGACAAGGAATGATATCAACTGTAAAACAGTTGAGAAACTATAGCAGGGTCCAAGGTGATCACGAACGACCTGGTTCCAGGTACAGGTTCGCCAATGCCTATCGGCTTGTTGAAGCGTGGGATGATTCTTAATCAGGCTCGGTCATATGTGTAGTACTTTTTAATGAGCAAATTCTCAAACTACGTCTTGAAACAGAGCAGTCGCTTAATGGTTTCGAACTTCAATTTACAGTCGCTAGACTGCAGGTATGAACACCGCTCGACTTACTTCGATCACTAACCCTCGTAGTTAGAGTGTGGTTTAAAGTCGATTACAAAAATCTTTGACTGGTAAATGAGTTATCAATCAGATTAGGACTAAATTCAAAACATAAATAGCATCGAAAGTATTTCGTATTGGTTTGAGACACATAAGAAGTACCCACTAATAAGTTCGCATAGCAACAAACTGAAATTTTAGGGAGAACCTTCTGTGAAATATGATGCCAATAACAACCCGAAGCCAGACGGCTACTTATAGATGATGTTTTAAGGTGACTGAATCTCAACGCTTGATTTAGTGTATATTTTCGGACGTAAATTCAAAATAGAAACAGATCAATAAAGCATAAAAATCTATTTTGAATGAATGTGTAACCGATTTTACCGGTAAATAAAGCTTGTTTTTGAAGACAGATAATATATATGAACTTAAAAATTTATATTAGTGCATCCAAGATATACAAAACATAATTGGAATTTGGGACGTACTTGTTTTGTTGCCTCTTTTGAAAGACAATCGAGTTTTGGTCTGTTTACAGTTTCTCTCAAGTGTTTAGGCATAGCATCAATTGGTTTCGTAGAGCATCCACGATCAGAAGTGCGATATAAGGGGAAATGTTGTAAAATAACTGGACGTGAATAGACGAAAGAAGATGGGTCTGAAATTTAGATAAAATGGAACAAGTATAACAATAATACTTCTGAAAAAGCTAAGCAGTTACACAAATAAATATATACACATAAATGATTATATGTTTGAAGAGAAATAAATGGTTACATTAAACGGTACACACTTATTTTACACGAGTCAACTAGACAGATAATACTAATTACGAGTACAGTAAAACTAATCTGGTAAAATACGAAATAGTCTAGTTAGCATATCAATGATCATATCATTTTTTGACATGTTGAAGATGCATCAAGAAAAGGTTTCTTTATCTTACTAATATTTATTCAGTTTAAAAAAAATATACATTATTGATTATAATAGTATGACCACATATTGATAATGAAAAGGAATTCACGATTAAAAGCCTTGAATTTTGAAGAAAGACAATTGTGTATTCTATTAATTATCCATAATCAGAGTAAAGCTGTGTGATACTTTAACAATAAGAAAATTACAAAAAACGGTTTCTAAATCCCTAATGTTTTGTGATGGTGTAACAGTACTTTAGCACCTGGGGATCGATTCATGACCATACAGAGTGAAATGGTTAGTCGAGCTGATCACTCCACCTCGAGAACTCTCATAAACTCTGGTGACTAGCGAGATCTCGGCAAGAATAACAATACGTCGTTTGGCTTTTTTAACCGTACCAGATAAGATGCAAGGAATACGTCCTTCTACTTATTAAGGGGTCGGTACACTTAGAGTCAACATATTTTGTACTATCTGGCAGTTTTGAAATATGGCCTATGAGACTAGAAGACATGTGTATCTTATTAACATTTGACTATAGACGCCTGTGAAGTATCGACTGTATATTGTCAGACCACCAAATGCGTAACACTGAGTTTGCACTTAGGAAAATAGGTAAAAACGGCAAATCTATTATAATTGAGAACGTAATCCTTCATTGACTGATGTGATGGGACATATGTTACATGTAACAATACACCATCTATTTGTGGACATTGCTACAGTGGTCAGTGTAAAAGTAATACGAATAAAGACTAACAAGTGTCGCACCCAAATGCCAATTTACAATTTCGAGGGGGGAAAACGCATTCCAAATATCCTGGCATTGTTACTCAGTGCTAACAGAAGACTCTGCATCTTGTCAGCGTCTTCACCAAACAGGGCTATGTCATCTGCGTATTCTAAGTCGATAAGTGGACCCTCCTGGAAGGAGATCAATTCCTGAAAATTCAGTCAACGAGAGTGCTATTTCCAGCAGTAGGTCTATGATGAAATTGAACAAAAATGGGGATAGTGGACAGCCTTGACGGACACCACTTGAGGTTGTAAAATCATATGACAGTTCGCCATAAGCTCTCACTGGACTGGTAGTGTTCGAGTAAAGAGCCTTCACAAGGTTTATGTACTTCTGAAGTACACCTTTCAATGACAGACACTGCCACAGAACCTCTTGGTCTACAGAGTGAAATACTGCTTTCATGTCAAGAAAAACTATCATTGTCGGACGCCGATAAGCGTGTCTGTGCTCTAAAACCTGACGAATAGTGAATATGTGGTCGATACAGCCACGACCAGGTCTGAAGCCAGCCTGATTTTCTCGTGTTTGCAGTTCACGAGTCTTAGTTAGGCGCCCGATAATTATTGAGGCTAGTATTTTAGATGCTATGTTAGTCAAACTAATCCCTCTGTGGTTATTGCAGGATGATTTTGACCCCTTTTTATATATTGGGACAATCAGAGATTGTGACCAGCAGAATGGAATTACACTCAGTTGTCAGATTTTAGCTAACATATTAGTAAACCTAATCACTAAAATTGAACCACCATACTTAAAGACCTCTGGAGCCAATCCATCTGGACTAGCTGCTCTTCCCTGTTTCAGATTAGCTATAGCCTTTTGAACTTCAGCTAGAGTCGGGGGACCTACTTCAATGTTCAATTCAGACTGTTCGGGAATGGTGGGTAATTGTAGATTAGCTGAAGGCCAGCTAAACTGTTCTCTAAAGTGTTCCGCCCATCGTTGTAAACGTTTGGGCTGAGAGCAGATGAGTGTCGTCTTTTCCCGAGATAGTCTCACACTTTACTTCTTGATTCCGGTTTCTGCTATTAGTCTGAAAAGCTTTCTGATTTTACCTACAACCGCTGCTTTTTCCATTTCTTTTGCTTTCGTTGCCCATCATTGCTCATGGTCGTCTCGTAGACTTTTGGTTAACCTACATCTGATTTGTTTTCGCTCTTCATCGTGTTCAGAGTCTGATGGGATGAGCTTACGAGGATCCATCAGTGCTATAGATTTAGTAGAAATCCATTGGTTATTTGTAACCCTTCTGTTTAAATCACTAACAGGTGTCACTGCTGTTTCCATAGCTGTTCGTATATCTTTTCAAGCAACAACTGGGTCAGCCTCGTTTTCAGAACTACCTAAGTGTGATTTCAGTTGTTCCTGGAATCTACTTTTGGCTTTCTCGTCACTGATTTCGACTCTAATGGGTCTTCTTAATGTGGTTTTTCTGCGTCCAGTGAGGCGCAATTAAACCCATGCTCGTATTAAAGCATGATGAGTCCAAACAGGTATTCCAGAACGAGGGACAGCTTTCCATCGAGCCTTCCAACGATGACATGGCAATATGGTCTATTTCAGTCCGTCGGTGATTTGATGCAGGGGATTGCCATGTTAGGTGATATCTCTCCTAATGCTTAAAGTCTGTGCTTGCTAAAAATAAACGATTGTCTGAGCACAGTTGCAGCAGACGATCACCATTATCTGTTCGCCCAGTCGGAATACTAAAATACCCGCCTAAATGTCTTTCTGTTGGGTTTAGACTACCTATTTGGGCATTAAAGTCACCTGCTACGAGCACTATGTCCGAGCGTTTACCTTTATGAAGAAGTACAGAAAGCTTTCTGTAAAATTCATCCTTCACTCCATCCGGGCTGCAGTCAGTGGGAGCGTAGGCAGAAACGACGAAAAGGCAACGACGTGTATCTCTATCCTTCCGAGATTTTACGAAGCCGTTTAGCCGAACAGCACATAGAAGACTGTTAACAGGGACCCATTCTAATAGTGCTTGCTCTGCCCTCGTACTTAGTGCTATGCTTAAAATCGCCAGTCCATAAGAACTGGTCAGCGGGTCGCCAGGTACACCGAGGGTGTATCTCGTCGGCTCTCCGTTCTGGCGAAATGAGGTCAAGTGAATGGTCACACTAGGATCCTTTATGCGTGTTTCGACACAGCATACATCAATGGTACAAGCTTCTAGGGTCTTAGCCAAGGAGGCATGTTGATCAATTTGACTTAGGGTACGTACGTTGAAGGCTACAACGTGTAGTCTGGAGCGAGATTTTAGTAGATCTGGGACGGTGTTTTGCGCACCAGAATCGTTGGTGCATGTTGACACTTGAGTAGGAAGTCTAAAGAGGAAGTTCAGTGTTGAAAGTCGAGGTGGGAGAATAATAGTTATTGAAAAAGGAGATTGATTGAGTACAGTGATCTTGAGTGCTGTTAGAGGTATGAGGGCAGTTATCACTTTCCGGTTGCCTACACCGTGGAAGAGTCCTTCTAGAGGTGCCTGAAAAAGAAATTGGATTAGAAGTGGTTTTAGTGACCTGAGAGCGTGACCGCAGTGCCCAAGGGACAACTGCTTGAGGTCAGTCACACATTTTCGAGAGTAGTTTTCGTGATAGTTCCGTACTTGTCTAGACCTTACTGCCGAAGACGGATATCCGTAGGATAAGGTGAGGAGTGCATTTTTAGGGTCGACCTTTTCTAACCCCACTCTTCCTTGTGGGAAGGCAGTATCGCTGTTATGCTGGTTGTCTGGAGGAAACACCTTACTGCCATCACACCTCTGTACAGTCAGCAGTACGACGTCCCTTTCGGACCTTGGGTTTGCCGCCTTTAGTCTCACCGCTCTTCAAACGACCTGCCTGGCATGGTAGGACCTTGAGGAACGACTGTTCCAGTCAGTATAGCTCGATTGCTTCATCACGATAGGCAAGCCCAACCACCACGTCAAGGTAGCAGCATCGGTCAGGGCGACCCATGCTTCTTCGTGAGGGGTACCTGGTATAAGTGAGTAAGTTCTCTGGTCAGAAAATCGTGCACAGAATAAATGTAAGTAAATCGAAGACGTAAACTGCCACTAGATTGTAAGGATCAACAGGTGATCTTATTTGCTGAATACATTTCCAATAACTAAAAATTTATAATGGTTTAATTAAGCTTAATCACGGAAAAACCAAAAGTAATGAAGAATCGGAAAATCTTGTCCTAACAGACTATTGATGGGTGTGTTAAATTGGTAAGTTTGGAAACAGAAAAGATATGTAAAACTGCATTCAGACAGACACAAAATGAACTTTATGATTGAATGATGTCTTTAAATAAGTGTACGCTTCATAATGTAAATTACTTAAATCACGAGTGATAAGTTCGCGTTAACCTACCATTAACGTCAACATCAATGTATGGAAATTCGTCAGAAAGACCCATGCCAAGTTCCTTGGAATAACAACTTTTGGCATTAGATGGAGTAGATAACTTCAAACAATCAAGATATCTCGCGATCAATCTCAATATGAAATTGGCTTTGAAACATAAATCACAATTATCACCTTCAAAAGCGATACTGTTTGCAATAACGAAATGGATGCCAAAAAAAGACCATAGATAAATAGGCGGTGTATAAACATTGTCTCCAACATCCCGGTGGAATCGATGATTCAAAAACTCATTTGTGCTAAATAAAAAAAGGAAATTATTTTACCATCCTGATCAAATTCTAAGATGACACAGTAGCAATAAATTTGGAATCATCCAGCAATACAAAATGTGTGAGAGGAGCTAGTAAAATCATAGGAAATATTTAAAGTTTATATGATATTCACAATTTCTTCAATTGAGTTACCACGTACTTTAAGATGATTAAAATCGTCTAAGGCGTCTGAAAAGGTAAGCATTCGGCATCGATTCTGAACTTGTTAGTTTTAAAAGATAGTACTAGCTGAAGGAGCTTGGCCGAGCATTATCATCAAATTATGACACTGTTTGAAGCTAAATGCTTCTCCTACTATAAATAGCTATTTTACAGGTTTTATTTTCCCTCTACATCTGAATACAATCAAATATACCTTACTCGCAACCATTATCGTCTTGTGCCCCCAAATGCCGTGGTACGGTCGAGGGTGGGAAGAATCAGCTCTCCCTGTCGAAATCATCTCACATCGCCACGCGTATACAGCCACCGCCACAGAATTCCTAGTAACTATCTTCTCGTTGAATTACTGTTGTTTACAAAATTGAGAAGACGATAAGCGAATGTCTGGCGCTATAACCGGGTTGGTGGGAACGGAAAGTCCACCTAGGGGAGTAGGAAAACCCTGATTCCAAACCAATGGTGCATATGGGCTCCAGGATCCAGAAGGAACAGAAGGTGTATGAACCAATTGTTGGTTGCCATGGGACTGTATCTCCTAGCGTTGCTCCACTGCCTTGTGGATTAGATCTTGAGGTCGAAGGCTCGGGGTGTGGCCCCCTACGAAAATCACATTCGGTATGGGGGCCCAGGCAGTATTTATTATATTTTATGCATATTGAAACAAAAGGGCACCAGATACATATGCGCCACACAAAACAATCAGAATTGGAACAGAAAAGGAGTGATGCATATATATAAAAGAAAAAAAACAGAAGAGTAATGATGGGGGGAACTGAAATGTACAACCAGACGAACTTTCAGTTAAGAAAGTTAGAACCACTCTTTATGAAGAAAGTAAAAGGAGGTTACAGCACGATCGCCACTGGCTTCTATTCTGAGCCATATCTGATAACGTCTCTAGCCACTGTGTTGCACCATTTCTCGGACCCCAGCCAGGGAGTCGTGAAGGAGCAGCTTTGCAGCTTTCTTTCATACCACGACACCATGTCATACACTGACCACCTCTCTGTTTTTCCAACCAGTCCCAGAGTCGACAAATAATGCATAACCTGTAACTCTCTGGAAAGACATTCGCAAAACATGTCCAAGCCACCGAAGTCGGTGTTTCAAGATGGTGACACCAATTGAATTATCGTCACTGAGTCCAAACACGATGCCGAACCTCTGCATTAGTAACATGGTGTTGCCACTAAATGTCAGCAATCCTTCGGAAACAACGATGATCGAACACAGAGAGTCGTCTAACATCCTCAACTCGGAGAGGCCAGGTTTCACAAGCATAGAGCAAAACTGCTCTCACCGACGCGTTGTAAATCCGACCTTTTACAGCCAGACTAACATCACGAAGGCGCCAAAGATGGCCCAGATTGGCATAAGCCGCTCTGGCTTTCCTTATACGTGCATCAATCTCATCACTCACGCCACCACCACCACTTATAAAGCTACCTAGATACACGAACTTCTCAATTACTTCTATCTCCTCGCCATCCAGGGTGACATAGTCCTGTTTGGTGAAGACGCTGGCAAAATGCAGAGTCTTCTGTTGGAACTCAGTAATAATGCCAGGATGTTTGGGATGCGTTTCTCCCCATCCAAATGTAAATTGTTACTCCAGGACTGGCCTGCGTCAACACTCGAACTAAGGATAGGAAGTGAAGTAGTCGAACGCGTCGACAACTTCACTTATCTTGGAAGTCTGATCAGCCCTAATGGGTTGGTGTCAGACGAAATCTCAGCACGGATTCAAAAAGCTCGTTTGGCTTTTGCCAACTTACGTCACCGATGGCGTAGACGAGATATCCGTCTATCAATTAAGGGACGAGTATACTGCGCAGCAGTTCGCTCTGTCCTACTTTACGGCTGTGAAACATGGCCATTAAGAGTAGAAGATACTCGTAGGTTACTAGTATTTGACCACAGATGCCTTAGAAATATTGCTCGCATCTGCTGGGATAACCGGGTAAGTAATAGTGAGGTTAGACGCAGGGTATTAGGGAACGATGGTAAATCAGTTGATGAGGTGATGAATCTTCATCGACTGAGATGGTTGGGCCATGTGTTACGTATGCCTGAACACCGATTACCACGACGCGCTATGATGACTAGTATTGGGGACGGTTGGAAGAGAGTTAGGGGCGGCCAAACCAAAACATGGCATCAGTGTTTGAAGTCACTAACTTCTAGCCTGAGCCATGTTGGCAGATGCAGACTACCTGGTTGGGGTCCGCGTGACTATCGTAACCAATGGTTGGAGACTCTAGGTGACATGGCTCAAAATCGGTCACAATGGCGTAGGTGTACACACTCTTTATCTTCCCTTAAACCTTGAGACTAAAAGTGCTTCATATCTCTCTTCCTTCCTGTACTATATCCTTATATACAACCTATAATTTATATACTAATACCAACACTAGATTAACTACTATGAATCCGGTGTTCCTCTTGTTGTGCTAACGAGGTATGGCAACTTGGACCGATGCATATATGTGCCTGGTCCTACGTTGTAGCTGACCTGACCTGACATCCAGGGTGAATATAGGATTGGAATCATGCCAGTCTTGTAGGAGTACTGTGCACTTCAAAGGTGCAAAGCACATACCGTACCTGCAGACACTGATTGCCAACTGATTAAGTACGGATTGCATGCCTTGGACATTATCGCACAGTAAGACGATACCATCCACATACTCAAGGTCGAGAAGTCGTTCTCCAGGCAAAAGATCCACACCGCCATTACTTACATACATCAGAGCTGTTTCCAGAATGTCATCGATGGCAAAGTTGAAGAGGAATGGTGAGATTGGGCAACTCTGCCTAGAAGCTAGCTCGGTTTGATACTTACTTGCAACAGAAGTTGCAGCCAGTTTACTAACATCGATCCGTTGATGGCGGTCAATCCTTCGGCCACTGAAAAGTAAGGTGAGATTGGCGCAGACCAGGGCATCATCAGACTCCAGATAGGTACTCCAAAAGGAGCGGCAGTCTTGTACACAACCACGCCAGTGGTAGCTGATCGCGATGTGATCAATCTGAGTCCAGGCTTGAGATGCAGAGGGAGGACGCCAGGTGGCACACCGGCGATGACTGTGCTGGAAGTTAGTGCTAGCCAGAAACAGGTTGTAATCTGTGCACAGTTGCAGCAAACGGTCCTCGTTACCTGTCCTGCGACCAACAAGTCCCCATCGGCCACCTAAACGACTCTCTTCTGTGCCTAGACGCCCGACCTTTTCATTCTAGTCCCCCGCTAGTACCATATTATCTGTCGAACGCGCTTTCTAGAGAACAGTTATTTGGTGGTAGAACACATCCTTGATTGCATCCGGGCTGCAATCTGTCGCGGCATAGGCGGAGATGACAAAAAGACATCGTTTCTCACGCCGATTTCTTCTTACTTTGATGGAACTTTCAAATTAAACAGCACATAACTGACTGTTAATGGGGATCCAATCGATTAGTGCTGCCTCAGCTTTAGCGCTCAGTGAGACACCAACGCCAGCAATGCCAGACGAAGATGACACAGGGTCCCCGGATAAGCGCACGTGAAACAAGCTTTTCGAAGCTATTTATTATTATTTGAACACATAAATAATGGTACAAAGGGGCACCGAATACATATGCGCCACACAAATCTCATTTGATTTGTGTGAAGGCTGTGATACTGTCCAGGTGTCCAAACTGAAGAAGGTGGTTTTCTTAGGGGGCCACACCCGGAGCCTTTGACCAAAAGGTCTGATCCACAAGGCAGTGGAGCATCGTGAGGAGATGCAGTCCCATGGTAGCCGGTGACCGACAGTTGGTTCATACGCCATTTGTTCCCTCAGGATACTGGAGCCCCTGTGAACCATTGGTTTGGAATCAGGGCAGTATCATAGACCACACAGGAGTCAAGTGACTTTGTACGACACATATGTATATGATGCCCCTTTGGACCATAATTTGTGTTCAAATAAATAAACAAATAAAAATTGTCGTCTTGGTTTTTGTTTATTTACAGTATAAGCAAGTTAGAAACAGATCTAGAAGTCGGTATTGTTTGATGCTGTCATATTCAGGTTATCTTCGTATCAATAAAAAGGGATTGATAGTTTGAATACTGTGTGAATTGGAGTTAAAAGAACGGCTGCGCAACTGAAAAGACGTGAAACTAACCTTACGTTCGATGTGACAAGACATATTTATAAACAAAAAACTTTGCATAACAATTAATTAAGATAACGCACGCATAATGAAATCCAATATCATGATTCCCAACAACAGTTTTAACTAATGTTTTCGTTTTATCATGATGAAAAATATCACGAAATCTTTCCACCAGATAGTTGAAATCATCATGTGTAGCCCATTTCCCTTCATCCAAAATATCTCCTAATATTATAACGGCATTGGGATTATGTAAATATAAGGAAGCTTGGAAAGCACGCTTCATTTGCCAATCTCTAGAATCATGAAGGTGAAATATAAACATTGAACATTGGTTCATAAGGTTTCATTAAAATATCATGTTTAATGTTATAATAATGCTTTTATGCTTCAATAACCAACAGATAATTATTCATGCGCAGTTCTTTCATTTTCATTAGTTTGATGAGATTGTTCTGCAAAAGGATGTCGTAGACAGTCAAGTCTATAAATTCAGTATGGTGAACTAACAATGATGATCAACTAACCATAGATGTTTAACGATTGAAGATGGATCATTCTTCATCTACTCACAGAAGTACTTTTTACTCTGACCACGACGTATTAGTATATTACCTATATAGAACTCTCGAGAAAAACTAAGAATATTTTTAGTCCCTGTACTTTAATATAAGTGGTGTTTCGGTAGAAATAATTATTCAACAACTAATTTAATTATTACATCTGGTATCGAAAACTTAAGTGACTGGATTAAAAATTGATTTCTTAGTACAATATTTAAGGTGGGTAGTATTACGATAATTTTATAACTTAGATATATGATTTAAAAAATTTTAATGGATGGCATCCAAGATGGTGACTGTTAATGAAGTTTGTCTGTTAATTTTTTAATCGCCCACCATAGGTCACTACATTGTTTAAAATCTGAGATGTAAAAGGGACGTATGTTGTACTTCTGTATACTTTTCAAGGAAATATCCCAGTAGTTAAGTAATAACCTGATAGACATACCTGATGTGTGAAGACCGACCCATTGCCTAAACCTTGGTAAATCAAATTGTGCTTCGATCAGTGATTTAATAGTTGAAAGTCAAGGAAACAAAAAAATCGTAGATTGTCAGTGATTATTTTTCCTATAACAATGGGGTATGGAAATTTTAAGTGAAAACCTAGAAGTTGACGTAGTCTGAGTAACATGTTAATATTACTGATAAAATATAATATTGTTTGGTTTAGATACGCTTACTAGATACTATTAATATTCTGAATAATCTAAAAAAATGGAGATTTCACGAATAAAGATGAATTTCGAAAGGTCCCGAATAGTCACTTTATAACGGATGTGTACGTTTTGATGTAAATGAAAGGAGTATATAGGATGGTGTGATGTTGAGTCCAATTGTGAAATGACTTTGTCAGTCCATGGTACACATTGAGAACTTCAAGTCTTATATCACAGGTATTTGAATTTTTGGAACTACTTATAAATCACTGTTTCAACAGAAATGCACAATACTGGTTTTTAGTCATGGATGATGCAAGACGTTTAGATATACGGCAAAGTGCCTCCACCATTCGTTACATACATACTTGTTTATCTTCGGTAAGTGAACATGTGGTAATTCCAGGCAGGCAGAGAACTAATATTGTTTGATTATTGCTATTTATTTATTATTTATTTAAACACATAAATATGGGTACAAGGAAGCACCAGATAAATATGCGCCATACAAATCTCTTTCGATTTGTGTGAGGGCTGAGATACTGCTTAGGTGCCCGAACTGAAGCAGGTGGTTTTCTTAGGGGGCCACACCCGGAGCCTTTGACTGAAAGATCTGATCCACAAGGCAGTGGAGCATCGTGAGGAGATGCAGTCCTATGGTAGCCAGTGACCAACAACAGGTTCATACGCCATTCGTTCCTTTAGGATACTGGAGCCCATGTGCACCATTGGTTTGGAATCAGGGTTTTCCAACTCCCCTAGGTGGATCCTCCACATCCACCAACCCGGTTAAAGCGCCGGACATTCGCTTTTCGTCCTCTCACTTTTGTGAACAACACCCCCGCCACGAGAAGGCAGTGAGTAGGACTTCCCTGACAGAGGCTATATATTCGCGTGGCCATATGAGAGCATTTCGAGAGGGAGAGCAGACTCTCCCCACTCTCGGCCGTACCAGGGCATTTGGGGGCTGATTATTGCTAATATTGAATATGTTACCCTGTTACAGATAGTTCTCAAGCAGTCTACAATTTCGAGAAGCAAAACAATAGATACATACTTCATGTTTACATTATTTATACAGTAGTATCAAAGGCTAAATGTCGTAATGTTCTAATGAGTGGTGACTCTGAAAAGATAATCAGCTTTATCTTGATATGTTATTTTGATAAAAGCAGTGAAAATATTCAAAAACAAATCTGCTTTCAAAGTCCAATCTAACCTACCTCCAATGACTGACTTACAAGTCACAGCAGAAACCTTAGATTGAGAAAGCGGAACCGTATGTTATTTATTCAGTCAGGAAGGATTTGAAAGTGACCAACTTGGTCTCGTGTGTTGTTACGGGTATGAGGGCATTTATTACTTCCCGGCTGCCCACACCGTGGAAAAGTATTTCTTGAGGGACCTGAAAAAGAAGTTGGATTAGTGTTGGTCTGAACGACCTGGGAGCGCGACCGCAGTGCCCAAGGGACAACTGCTTGAGGCCGGTCACGCACGGCCTTTTTGTGTGGGGTTTTTGAAGTGTTAGCTCCGTTCTTCAAAGGACCTTACCGCCGGAGACGGAAATCCGTGGGATAAGGCGATGTGTGCATTTTTAGGGTCGACCTTTTCTAACCCCACCCCTCCTTGTGGGAAGGCAGCATCGCTGTCATGCTGGTTGTCTGAAGGAAACACCTTACTGCCGTCACACCTCTGTACAGTCGGTAGTACGACTTCGTCTTCGGACCTTGGGATTGCTGCCGCTCTTCAATCGACCTGTCCGGCATGGTAGGACCTCGAAGAACGATTGTTCCAACCAGCATAGCTCGATTGCTTCATCACGATAGGCAAGCCCGACCACCACGTCAAGGTAACAGCAACGGTCGAGTATGTTATTTATTACACAATACAGCTTGTTTACATGCACACAGACAGAAAAAGCTGTGTTATGAGCCTCATTTGTGGATTATGAAAGTTACGTTTTATCGTAATTTTGTAAGAAATACGCCAAATTAAAATATATTTTTATAGGAATTTCAATAGGTTTTAACATTCCGCACTAACCACGCCATCACACAGATCTGCAGTTTACGAAAGTATTGCAGGTAGTTGTTGATAGAGTAATAAAGAGGGTTATTGAAATGATGATAACTAAGTTTGGAACTCTAAATAATACCATTTTATCACAATCCTAGAATTTACAACCACAAACAATATCACTGATAATATTCTGGACTATATGTTTATTTACATATAGTAGGTTGGAAAAATGTTTTGATGATTACAGTGGTCAAATTCCAATAAGCAACGTTTCCCAACAGCTCTATTTCAGAAGCCATCCCAATGAAGCTACAATTTTCAACTATCAAACACGGGCTTTTTAGCAGTTGATGTGTGGGTTTATCGAAATCAAGGTTGTTTACTATCGTTGATTTTAATTATTGTTCTGTGGACCACATGTATCACCAGATGATTTCCACTAATGATTGATTATCACTTTTTAAAACTAAATGAATTACTCGTTGTTCGACCAAATACCGAATCGCATAAGGGGAAATAACGTACTGGATTTTGGCATGACCGAAGTCAATCTAAGAGGATTCCTCTTTCAATTGACGGTTTCGTTGTACCGATTTACGTACACGACAGTTGGATTGTGCCAATCGTGACAGAACAACCTTGAAGTTCTTTAGTTGATGTGCAGGAATTCCAACAAATAAATAAAATACGATCGCGCTTCCAACAGCTAAGATGGGTGGAGCAATATCACTAGCTATTACAAAAAGATTAGCTTTAGTGACTAATATATATTGCATCGTCCCGTCAAAGTTATCACAAACAACCTAAAACATCCATTGTTATTCCAACAAGCCAGTTCGATTGAGATATATTGATGAGCTTATGAACACTGATACTTAGTATATGGTATTATACCACCAAGTAATTAAAACTCCTAATATTGTTTGAAACCTACTCACTTACCAAAGAATAATCTTCACTATAAAAAGTCTGACACATTTAATTATAAGTCATGCAACAAAACCGACTACTGGGGCAATGTAAATATTTGTAAAGATAATAAACGATTCAAACCTTCTAATGCGGTCAATGGGGTGACCTAGGACGTATCCAACGAGATGTGTGTCTGCTAGTACCATTAAATTGACAACTGCAGTGTCTGGATTTTGTAAGTTTTTCACACTAGCACTGGGTAGGTTGGGCCAATTACAACTGTATAGTGTGAAGTAATAAACAAGATATTCACACACCCATATTAAAGCAGCCAAATACAAAATCAAGCACCACCTTCCTCGAAATATAATGAGAATAGGAGTTTCTGGAGGAAATTGGATGCTGAACAGCCTTCTGGTATTCTAAAACAAAGAACAGAATTTGTTTATAATCAAGAAGACAAAACAAGAATAAAAAGTTTATTATTGTATCAAAGTTTATTTTGACATATATTTGTAGTAAAGTTCTCCAACATCATAGATCCCGATAAACTTCCAACCATCTTCTTTCATATGATACACTATAAAAAGTATTTTTACAAGTTGCAGAAACAACATACGGTTAACAAATCCACCAGACGCTGCATCGCGGTGTGTTGCATGAAATATGGACCGCTTAGCAAGTTCATACGCATCTTCATCACTCATTTCATACTTATACCCTGTATCTAAAACACCATAGGCATAGGGACTTCCCGATCCCACAGAAAACAGGTTCCCAGGGGTTCTGTTGCCATCAGTATCAACATAATATATACCAGGTCCATTTTTGTCCCAACCAACAATAGTCGTACCAATACTGAGACCCATTCCTTTGTAGTTGTAGACCATATTTGCCAACAACTTTGACGCAGCGGCAACGGATATCCTTTCCTTATTTCTCAGCTCAAACAACCTAAAACATAAAGTCTGAAGTTTTAGGCATCACCTGCAATGCTTAGCCAAAACGCGCTCCCAGAATTGGCAGTCCGCAGCACCTCCAGCCATAGTTCCAAGGAGATACTTATTGATCTCGATTATCTTCTTGGTAGTACCAGAAGCTAGACGATGAATTGAGTATCAGAAAACTTACCAATATATGGTCCAGCTGTTGCACGCGAGTCTGTCGCTACGATGACACCACCAGAATATTTGAGTGCAAGAGTAGTAGTGCCGTGGAAAAAATTAATCTTCGTTTCCTTGCACTGTATCCCATACTCTATTGGTTTTAGGTAGTTCTAGGACCCTTATAATAAGCCAAATCCAATACCTCAGCTTTTTTACTCCGATAAAGATCAACTTCCGAAAGATGAGTACATACACTTCTTGCTCCAGGACCTTTTTCAAGCCCATTTACCATTTCAAAACCAGTTATGTCCAACAGGGCCATGATGAAGCTGGTGAGACGCACAGGTTTGAATAAGCGCGAGATTCCAAGCTTCAAACTTTACAAAGCAGACCTGGTGAACTATTTGCTACCTGGAGTCTACATTTGAATAATAAAGGAGTATTCGAAGTGTGATGGGTATAATTTTTGTGATTTCACACCTGGAAACTGAGGGACGAAAAAAAATTAGTTAACAAAAGGGAATGTTGAGCACAAACGGATAGACCAATATGTAGCGGTAAATAAAAGAACAAAATAAGTAATTCTGCAAGTCTGCAACATCACTGCTTACCCCAGTAGTTTTGCTGGACGCACGAACCCTAACTGGATCCCGAGTCGGCACGTAGTACTACGTACGCCTTGCAACTAATAGCCAGCTTAGACTAAACGCTTCTCCACACATCAATAACCTGCCAAATATTCTTCGAACCCCTCATTTATGACCTCTAATATAATTGGGCTGGTATCCGTCGAATTTAAGATTTTACGTGTTAAAGTACTGTCAAACTCCGAATACCTGTGGCATCTTTAAATCCCTCTGAGTATGTAAAGAACTAAAGTAAATGTCCGATTTATTTTGACAAAATTCAGGTGTCATCCAATAGGAAGTTTCATAATTCATAGTTTTTTATCAGCAAAATTTTACGCGAGTTTATCTATTTTTTGTTCCGTTCTACATGGATGTCCTCTGTATTACGGTTTAGTACTGAAATATATTGATGTTATGTTGGAGTGGAATTACAAGCGATGTAGTGTATCTTCATCATATCCGTGTTAACATTCTTATGTTGGGATTGTCACAAGTGTGGAGCTTTCAAGATGGCTGAGTGGATTTCACTTTTCGTCTGTGGGGATGTTTATGCAATTACAAGCAACGATATTCAATATTGATATCCAGAGTACGAGGTCTCTTTTCAAATGCATATCATCCGAGGGATCTCAGTCCGGATGTTCGAAACCAGCTGGAGGCATCTGTTGGTACTACAATAACTATAGTGACAAAGCACAGAAATGTACAAGGTTGTTTAGCTTTACATCTACAGATTGAGACATTTCGGGAAACGAATCAACCAGACAATAATGGCAGTGAAAATCTTTGACTGTCCGACAAACCATCTCCCGCACGCGAGGAATAACATTTTTGGCACAGAATTTTCGGTAGCCGCCGAAGAGGAAATAAGCGTAGTTTCACCGACATTATCAGGACGGCAAAGTACTTCGGGTAGGAGTTCTTGTCCAAAAGGATAACGAAACCATTTTCCGAACATATGAAGAGCAGTCGTTAACACTAGACTTAAGGGTTCTCTGATGTCCTTCGTGGATTTTCATGGTACTGCAAGTAAAAAGACTGATGTTTTTGGCTGACTTTCTCAGCTCTTATAACTTACCTATAGACCTGAACGAAAGGGAACTTACAGATGGTAATACTCGTTTACTGGTAAGAGGTACAACGGCTAATACTGAAATTTACGGTATTCGCGTAGTGAAACTGACAAAAAATCTCTTGACTGATTTCTCATTCGAGTGTGATAGTATCATAAAGGCTGATTACCAGACCGACCGAATATCGACTCACACCGCACCATACCACAGATCAATCAATTTACGCGTGCTCGCTTAGGATAGCCCAAGATAAAATAAAGATTACAAAACGGAAACTCAAACGCACGATGGAATTGGGAATGATAGCAGCTTATAGGCTTCTCCATTACCCACCGTGCACAACAAGAATTATAAATGGCGTCCAAGAAGTGATTGTTACTGTCATTATTATTACAAGATCCATTTTTAAGGTGTTGTGTGTGAAAATCCCTCCATGTATACACTTGTAATTTATTCCCCTTTGATTATGTCGTCTGGGATTGTGCATTTTGAATGTGAATTGAAGAACTTTTTCAGAATTGAAAACACTCTGTGTTATAAAAAAACTAAATATTATCTTTCGAACAAATATATACGTGTTCTATCCAGAAAGGATGGAATAACATTTATTTCGGTGTGCTCGGTTGTTTTCTTACATTCCTTATCAACTTGTTTATTTGGTGTAATTTATATCTGAATAATTGAACAATTATTAGTGGAATGACTGAGTGGTAATATATGTTTAGGTAATGATGTACATTTATATTTATGATGAATATTATTACAGTTATTTACCTAATCACCCTGTTTTGGTTTCAACTAGGCGATAGTGCGTATGTAAACTACCTAGACAGTTATTCTTCAGTTCGATCCTTTGTTTGGATCCTACAATTGTCATCGTTCAAATATTCAGTCAGTCTCGGACAGATGTCCCATTCCTAATTTACAGGACCTGTCATTGTCATTACATGGGAAACGTGTCTTTTCTGGACTGAACGTCGTAAGACCATACCATCGAATTCCGATATCATAAGAAAGAATCTGAAAAACGGCTATCATTAAACCTTTTGTATGTTTAAATTTTTGAGAATTATATTTGGTTTGAAAATTGCAGCCCAAATCTTTCAGAAATTTTTAGATGAAGTGACTGGAAGACTGGATATCATATTCCTTTATATTGAGAACTTTTTACTTGATAGTTCCTCCACCGATAAGGATGTACATTATCTGAGAAACTTATTTCGCTGTTTTAAAAGTTATGGGGTTTTAATAAACTCTTCAAAATGCATACTTGATGTTGCCACTGTTAACTTTCATGGACACCATATTGGAGGACAAGGCATCAAACTGTTGCGAAAAATAGTTGAGTTAAAAAAGCGGTGTTATGATAATCAAAAATGATTGTGTGTGCAAATATTTGATTAAGTCACAGCATGATGAGTAGTAATAACCGTTGATTGAAATCCTAACTCATGGGGAGTATAAATATTTTGTGTTCGGAAATTGGAAAACAAGCAATGCTATGTCGATGTTGGTAACGGTATTAGCTTTCGTTCTTGTCTGCATGAGTTGATTCCTAATTGCATCTGAATAAGTAGGCTAACTGAAAGAACAAAAGTACAACTTTAGAAAAGAAGAATTCCAACTAGTATTCCAGTTAGTTATTTAAATTTGATATGGTTTATTTAGTTACGGGGAGGTGTTCTCGACTACGTTATTGCTTAACCGTAATAGAATTTAGTAATACACTTGATACATATGAACTGTTATCGAAAATTCTCTCAATACGTAAAGGCTATAATTACGTGAATTTGGGACAGATAGATGACACTAATTAGTTAAACATGGGTGTTTTCGTGAGAGACATGCTCTAGACTTAATGTTAAAGAGCGGTACATTCGTGCAGATGTCCCAGAATGTTCACAGTTAGGTTTATATTTTAGTATTGCATTATGGGTGCAGTTTTTATCATCTGTTTAGAAAATGGAATCGCGCCCTCGCTGAAACTATAGAAAACGCACACCAGGTCCAAACCCAGCATTATTGTATTGGAAATTTGTTTCTTCTTCGGATTTATCGGACACAACCTTTTAGGAAGTTTATGGTCGTCAATAACCACATATAAAGATCTTTTGGTATGAACGGCAACTTGAAGAATACGTACTTTAATTGAGTTCCTGATGTAGAAGGCTCCGCATCTGTGCACTGAGGGTGTGATGCTGGAAGCAGGAGGAACAGAGGAACAGTAAAGCATCTGAATGTAGTCCGTAAATAGTGCCTAACAGGTCCCTGTGAAACACGCAAAGTTATAATATATTAGTAGATACTAACTACCTTTGATGGAGCAAAATGTGGTTAGAGACTTCAGATAAAAGAATACAGTATTAAAGAACAATGAGTTGTGATATGTGTCAAAGTT